AAACTGTCTAATTAGTTTTGTTTTCCCATTTATAACACAATGACAAACTGATCATGTAATGTGTTTCCTGTTCAATAACGTAAAGCTTCTAAATCTATAGGGTTGCAATGAAATACTATTTGAATAAGCTTTATTTTACAACATATAAAACAAAAATCTGGCAACAGTATCGTCCTATGCATTCTAAGTGTGTTAACACTTAAACAACTCCTTTGTAAAAAACCAAACATGTTATTGTGGTTTCTGAGAAAAATGTTATCAAACAGAAAGCTTCTTTATTTGATAATCATTACACTACTTTAAAAAAGAAATATAAATTGAGGCTCACCTGCCTTAACTCCACAAAGACTTTTATTAAAAGAACTTTCAATCCTTTACGTTCTCTAGAAAAAAGTGTGTTTTTCTTACAGCAAAGCCACATCGGGCTATCTTCTGTGTCCACCGAGGGGAATCGAACCCCTGATTATAGCGTTGTAAATCCGAAGATTTATCGCTGTCCAAACAGAGGACAAGAAGAAAGTAACATTAGTAGAAGTTCTTTACAAAATATACCACCAGTCCAAAAGTCATTGTTACAATCATCGTTCCTAGAGTTTTGTTACTTTGACCAGTCCCAGGAACATTGTTTCGCTGACTAGTCCAAGTGACATTGTTAAACTGACTAGTCCAAATGCATTGTTAAACTAACTAGTCCAAATGGCATTGTTAAACTGACTAGTACAAATAGCATTGTTAAACTGACTAGTCCAAATAGCATTACTAAACTGACTAGTCCAAATAGTATTGTTACACTGACTAGTCCAAATAGCATTGTTACACCGACTAGACCCAAGGGCATCGTTACATTGACTTAGAACAGTCCCAAGATCGTTATTACATTGACCAGTTCTAGGGACATTGCTACACTGAATGTACTTCATAAAGTTGTTAAATACTTTAGCAACAGGAAATAAGTGAAAAGAATTTGAGGAACATGCCAGAAATATATATATATATATGTCTTGTCTATGTCATCCTTTGTCTAATTGCAGCCACAAAAGTTCTTGTCTTGTAGAATTTGCATAATATAGAAAACTCATTCTCTTCAGATATCAAGGTTTACTCCAAAGCCAGGATCTTCAAAATCCGCACAGTATTAAACCTTGAATTGTAGGAACACCAACACATACCTTCAGGTAGTTCTGGTAAATGTGCACAGAATTAGCCTATGTACTGTAATAATCCCATCACAGTCCTTCGGCTATTGCTGGTAAATGTGCACAGAATTAATCTATGACTTTTAGTAACCCATCACAGTCCTTCAACTAATATGATAAATGTACACAGAATTAACATATTGTTACGTCTACGTTTGCTAATTAATTTTCCGTAAATTCGTTCCGACGAAACTTTAGCGACACAAGCCCTTTCTTAAATAAAACTGGTTTATTCTTTCTGAATATGACTTTGCGATACACTTAATTTCAACACTCGCGCTATAACAAACGCTATAATTCTCAACGTACGTCTCACGTGCTCGACTCCAACAATACTTAGTTCAATTACACATCCATTGTTCCGTCACCTTGTGACTGTCTTATATATTCAAGACTAACACATGTCTAGTAATCTCCCGACAATTCACGAAGGTTCGAGAAAGACGTGGCGTGATACTAGTCACGTGAATTCGCTGACGCAACAATATGATCTTTAGTAACTCATCACAGTCCTTCAACTAATGCTGATAAATGTGCACAGAATCAACCTATGACCTTTAGCAACATCATTAAAACCCTTCTGGTAATGCACAACACCGTGCTTAAGACATACTTTTGTAAACGGGGCCTAATTTTTTATTCACCGCTGAACAGAAATCTTTGGTCGAGTTAGTCCTTTTTGTTTAAACATCATTTGATGGATGCACCATTAAAGAAAAAGTAAAGGAAGAGTTCTGGTGAGTGTGTATATCTTATTTCATTCATTTTTTTTTCCTTTGATTTGGTTTCTCGGAATTTGCAGTTTTATTTCATTAAGTTATCCGAATAGCATCGCTTTGAACAGTATGGTGCAGATGTAACTGCGCTACGTTGTAATTTAGCAAGTGTGAAAAAATCTCTTAACCAAACATAACATTCCAGCAAACCAGGTACAAAATTAAAATTTATGCTACGTAAAAACTACTTTGACAAGAATAATATTAACATAATTTATAAAATATAATGCAACAACTGCCATAAATTCTATATCGGTGAAACAAGTTGAAAAATGAAAACAAGACACAATGAACACAGAAAAAAATCCCCCTTCCATGTTTTTCAACATTGTATCTCAAATAACCACAGTATAACCATAGAAAACACTAAGATATTAAACAAAGAAAACAAACAAAAACTAAAAGAAGCTATTCTAATACAATAACATAAACCCACATTGAACCAGCGCCTAGGAACCGTTTTATATCTTTACTAATTATTCCTAAATGTTAACTACCATATAATAGGTTAAATATTTACAATGTCCTCTACAATCTTACACCTGTTATTATTGTAGTCTTCACAGCTCGTGATCAGCAACGGTCACTATTTCAAATCTCAATCTTAATAAAATTATGACCTAA